CCGGTGCTTAGAGAAGAACTGTAACAACTACAGTGGTGGTGAGGAAATGGGGTGGGGCACTGCTGTTGCAGGCACATCATTCTGTCAGGGTATTTATTTGCAAGCAAACTAACTGGAATGCATGACCTCACAAGGAATGGGACCAATGCACTGGAAAGAGCCCAATGAGAATGAGAATGGCACAGCTGAAAAGTGTGTCGAAGGGGTCACATATCATAGGATTATAAACCAATATTATAACCCAAGTAATGGAATGTTTTATGTCTTTAGATAAACTGGAAATGGTTGGCTATCTCTCTTGATGTCATACAGTACAATTCTAATTGTAGTCAATGGGATTTACTCCACTCTAAATGTTTATAGAAGCCTTGGGGCAGGAGAAGAATGAATCTTTTCTCAGTGTTTACTGTCTATTTTGATTTCTCTTTACCCCAAAAGCACTTTTATCCAGTAATAAAAGCACTGACTGCATATTTCCACTGCAGTTCTTCATGCAGTGGTGGGATCTTCCATTTCTTCATTATAACATTTCATCTTCTTGCAGTCTCCAGTTAGCTTTTTGTCATCCAGATAAAACCAAAATACATTCAATAATAACAGTACTGCAAAAGAGAAACTCAAAAAATGTTGCTTTTGGTGATACTTTATGAAGTAGAGCATTCGTTCTCCTTCACCAGCCATTAGTCCTCATGGCTATTCCCATCTCGTGTGACCTCGGGTGAATTGTGATTTTTCTGTGTCAATATAAATGCAACCACTGCTATCAATGGCATGTCCAAAGGAATACTTTACTTGGCCTCCAGTTTCCCACACTTTAATTGATGTTGCCTTTCAGCAGCGTTTCTGCTGATGATGAAATGCTCAGTGATTAATGGATCATTATTGCTTTTTAAAACCAAATAGAATGATATGTATAAAATCAATGTGTTTCTTTCATGATTGCATAAACCAAAACCTGAACTGGAAATTAAGAATTTCCTGTCCCAGCAGTGTGTGCACACTGCAAGCTCTTCATGTGGAAGCTAAAGATAACACTCTGTGTGGGATGCAAAAGACTGCAGTAACTCTAAGGGAGTGATCCTACTTATGTTCAGTTAGGAAAAAAAACCCCTACAGCTCCCTGTTTGCTGTGGAATGCTAGGAGCTGCAGGACTCTTTCTGTGCAAACATGCATAGGATTGTGGCCTTACTCATTAGACACCTATTGCTATCCTCTTACCTTTCCTCCAGAGTAAATTCTTTCACTGTTGTTGAAAACTGCATTGCTGTAATACTGCTGGCAAAGGCAGCAGGGGACTGTGCTGACCCTCTTTTAGTGACAAGATCCAAGAAAGCAGAATTTTCTAGATCAGAATGTAAGCAGATAATTCATAAATATATGCACAGTTTTCTTATGTAAGGCCTAATGAAGCAACTGGGGATACTAACATTTTAGTTTGTCACTGCATTTCCTGTCATGCTGCAGCCTTATTATGATTGTACCCATGTTAGTTTTACTTGAATCCCATTCATTTCAGTGGGTCTACTCCAGAACTAATACTGGATACAACCCTATGCTTCTAGGAGGGACTGTGGACTGTATTCTTTTTCTCCTATACAATAAATGCAGGCTGCACTCTAGACATCCCCAGGAAGGCAGAATATATGTCTATGCAAATTATCAGGCTATGGATATGTAATACAAGTAAGTCCATGGCACTTCTTAATTCATCTGAAGGGGGATACAATGGCAGTTGTCAGGCTCAGAGCTACAGAAAGGACATGCTAGACTTCCTCCGCACTGTTTCCCCTTCTACAGAAATATATGCCAGATTGGCACTAAAATTTCTTTTGAATTCACACTTTCTGAAGGTGCAACCCTATGCAGGTTTAGACAGGAAATGAGTATATAACTCCCTGCATGGCTGGTTGGGGCATTGTGGGAGTTGCAATTCTTTAGTGATTTTAGTGCTTCCCTTATAAATATGATGATGAAGAGAGAAAATAGAAAAATACATAATATGACGCAGAATCTGTCCTTGATTTAACATGGCAGATTATGGAATAAAACGCTATTTATTTAGCATTAGTTTCAGTGCAACAAGATCGCTTTTAACAAGCAGGAAGATTCCTGCTCTCATATGTTCTAATAATACTTAGTAAAGTGAGCCACTTGGAAGAAAAGATTTCAGCTGTTTCAGGTTGAAATGATGATGTGCATTTGCAAATAAAATTAGTTCAGAATGCTCCTACTGAATATACGTGCATCATGTTAGCTAATAAATTTATATAAGACACAGAAATGTATTTGTTTTGGTTTCTAGCCCATCCATTCTGTATAACAATAAACACACACACATACACACAAATAAAAATAAAATTGTAGTTAAAATAGTGGAGCAGCAGAGTTGGCTTGAGGCAGACACAATGTGCTGTCCTACAATTCCAGATACAGAAACCCAACTGGACTGGCAGTGTATTTATGCATTTATTCATAACGTTTATACCCTACCTCTCATAAGTATGTCAAGCCTATGGTAATACTGGCTTGAAGGTGCAGGCTGGCACTGCAAAGGAAGGTGCTATAATAAATTGCAGTAAATTTCTCCTATGTCAGCCTAAGCTGGGCTGTTAAAAGCTGGCCCAAACATGAGAGAATACACCTAGAGGGTGACTCTAGGGTTTCTCTTCTATTGTTGAAACTTTCAAGCCTCACAAGAAAGACCCTTATAAATGTATGTAGATTTTTATATACTGTCCCATTCCCATAGGCTCTGGGCAGTTTCCAAGACATTTAACCCAATAACAATTTGAATTTAGACTAAAAGCAACCATACTGAGCAAAAACTAATTTGGAAAGGCTTGTTGAAAGAAATACATTAACTCCCTCTTGAAGGTAACAGTCCCAGATATCTGATGCAACTCTCGGGGTAGGCCATTCTTAGCTTCATGCTGTCAAGCCCAGCCCTACTGTTAGGCAGAGTGGTGCAGTGGATTTCTGGTGTCATGAAAAAGCTCAACTGTGGTCTGTCTGTCTATCACATTTTACTGCCAGGGAGCAGCAGAAGTGGTGGCGGTGGCAGTGTTTGTCGTTAGCTGCTCTGCCTCAGGCTTCTGCCCTGGGTCAAATGCCAATCTGTTTCATCAAGAATGTCCACACACAATCCTAATTGATATATGAACTTCTTAATTTTTTTGGCTGCATGATCTGAAAATGGACTGTGCAACTAGACTCCTTTTGTCATATAGAGAATGATCGATGATTTCCTATGTTGTTGCATAGATACGTACTTCTTGGACATCCAACAGAAGGAGAGCCAGTGTGGTGTAGTGGTTAAGAGCATGGGACTGGGACTCAGAGGATCTGGGTTTGAGTCCCCGCTCGGCCATGGAGCCAACTGGGTGACTTTGGGCCAGTCACAGTCTCTCAGCCCAACCTACCTCACAGGGTTGTTGTTGTGGGGATAAGATGGAGGAGGAGAGATAATGTAAGCTGCCTTGAGCCCTTTGTAGGAAAAAGGCAGGATATAAATCAAAAAAATAAAATAAAATAAATAATAACACAAGAAGAGACATGCTAGATCAGGCCAAGGGTCTATCTAGTCTGGGATTCTAGTCACACAGTGGCCGACAGTTCCCCACAAGCAGGTTATGTAACAGCACCTTCCTACCCAAGTTCCCCAGAGAGGTGTGGAAATTCCTAAAACTGGAGAGGAAGCGGACAACATAGCAGACAATGCACCATAAATGTGAACAGAAAGTAAGTCCTCCAATGTAGTTAAGACCTCCGGATGTTTTGGCCTTCGTCTCCCATAAGCACTTGCCAGCATGGCCAGCGATCATGAATGCTGGGAACCAAGGTCCAAAACGTCTTCCCCCTTCCCCCACCGCTTTAATGAAAGCTGTATTGCATTGACTTATGCAAAAGAAACCTACCACCAGTCTAAGAACAGAATCAGAATTCCTGGATCTCTGGTCATTACGTAGGCGAAACTCTATGTCAGCCTCAAAGATGTCACCGACTACAACTCCCAGGATTAGTCTTGCAATGAGTAGGGGGATTTGGGTCGATGGCCTACTGGCCGTTCCCAACTCTAGTATTCCGTGAGTACCTGGTTGTAATCCAACACTCCGGGAAAAGGCCAGGTAAAGGAAAGCTTCTTTACATATCCTTATACATTCTGTAGCTTTTTGCGTCATTGCAAAGAAAACATGTTCCCGGTGGCACCATCGTGGCACTGAAATGGATGCTAAGTTTTGCTGTGTGGATGAGGAATACTGTCCACCCTACGACGGCGGTAATGTCTGTGTAGCAACGGGTTAACGCCTTCCCATTGCCCAGCCCAGCACGCTATTTCCTTTCCGAAAAAGAAAAGAGGCTGTGGTTGAAACGTGCCTGGAAGTCACGCCCTATGACCTGGAAGCCCTCCTGCATTCTTATTCTGTATTATTTATGCAACCAATGCCGGCATTCTGCACATGCTCAGAGTCATATTTTAACATGACTTAACTTGTTTCAAAGGTAAATCGTGTAAACACTACCCGGGGCTGAACTCCAATCTGTCTTCTGGAAAGAGAGGAAAAGTCGGAGCTGGAGAAAACGTGCAGGAGAACCACCGTGTGCTACCCGGGGAAGTGGTCCCGCCTCTCCCTCCGCCGTCCCCCGGCCTGCGCTCTCCTCCCCTGCGGTCCCCTCTTCTCCTCCCACCTTGACGTCTGGAGCTGGCAGTCCGGCCGGTTCCGCATTCCCGACCCCTCCCCGCAGCCCTGGGGCCGATATATAACCGGGGCTGATGCAACCCACCCAGCCGTCCGGCACAGCCTGCAGGAGGGACGGTGAGCGACGGAGGCTACTTGCAGCCACTGCGGGGGCCGCCGCCGCTGCCCCGCCGCCGCCCAGGCGTTCCCGTGGCCGCGGCGACTCCTCCCGGGAGCAGACCGGGCTCGGCACAACGGGCCTGGAAAGCGAGGCCGAGAGCCGCTCCCGGAGCTGGGCAGCTGCGGTGGAGCTGAGTGTGCAGCCCGCCTCCCGCTGCAGCCGGGCCCCGGGGGTGCCTTCGCCGCCTGTTCCGTCAGTTCGGTGGGTACAGCAAGAAGGGATCCCGACCCACGGACCGATGGCGGGTGGGTGGGGGGCTCCGCGGCGGCTCCGCGTGTTGTTTCTTCTTCGGCATGAAGCTCCGCGCCGCCTGCCTGCAAGGCTGCAGTCATCATCGGACCCGACTTTCGGCGGCCCTGGCTGGGCCTCTCGCTTGCTGAGGCGCAGCACCGCGCGAAGAGCGCGAGACGCTTCAGGGGGCCCAGCCCGGGTCCCTTCGCGCATTCCTCGGGGTCGCCGCCACCGCGTCTTCCTTCACTCACCGATGTTCCTCCCGAATCTTTCCTGCCTGGCTGACATTCAGGGCGGCATTACTCCCCTTCCAGCGCATTCTTATGAGCGAACGGGGGGTGGTTGTAATCTGGACTGAAAACATTGGTGATTTCAGAGAAACCGCGGGGCTATGTATTCCTTGGCTTAATGAATGCGGAGTGTGACCGCATGAACTCGGGTACGCGGTGCCAGAATACCTTGGGAGCGGTCTCCCGTGCCCGCTTCTTTTTCTTATTCTCCCTTCTTTTTTGCTCAACATCTTAGGTTGAAAAAGGAGCTGGAGTTAACTAACCCAGCCCCTTGCATCAAGACAGGATCCTTCGCAGCAAAACCTTAGTGTATCGGTAGGTGAGAGCAGAAGGCAAGAAAAGGGAAAGGGATGTGTGTGCATGATGCATCCCTAGGTGACCCTGTAGTGGGTTGCACAGTTAAGAGCACTTTAAGGGCTGCTTTATATGATTAAATCAAGAGGCACTGTTGGCCCAGAAAGATATTTTTATTCCACTTTAAATGTTTTTCCCCCTTTTTAACCCCATTCTCTATTCTGCTTTGTGCCATGCTGCATCTCATGGGGCACCCTCTTTTCTCATTCTGCACAACCATAGTTGTTTCTTTGCTCCACCGTCAGGTTTTTTCTTGCCTGCTGTTCTAGCGCACAAGGCTCTCACTCTGCCAGTACTTCACATCAATGAAGGGGTCTTTGGTAAAAGTGGGCTGAGCATGTGCCAGGCTGTCCGGGTGCACCAGGCAGGGAAAACTGGCAACAATCACACCCCTCCTCTCTGGATGGGGTTGAGGGAAAGGGTCTTTTAAGTTTCCCTGGAGATATGGAAGAGGGCTGCAAACAGTTGGGTATTTGGAACTTGCCCTGGAGCAGGGGGTGCAAATAAGGAATGATTGCAGTCTGCCTGTATTTTGTGCAGGGCTGCCCTATCATATGTAACATAACAGTCTAGAATTCCCTTCCTGCCCCCTCATGTTCTCTGCACAGTTCTGTTGTTGCTACCCTTGGGTGTTCCTGAACCCCCTGAATGTATGTATTTAGTGATGCTGAAATAACACTGAGAGTAGGTGTTTCACCTTTGGGACTGGGCCATCCATTCTTGCTAGCCGCAATGGCGTAATGGCCAAGTTATACCAGTGCATGCATTGGTATAACTAAATCTGGGATAGGCCCTGCCTGGAGGATCTAGAAAAGAGCTGTCTAAAGCTTACAAGTTCCACAGCTTTGGGCCTGTTTTTTAGCCACACCTTTTTTTTAGCATGCTAAGGAGGATATGCAGGTCAGGTTTTACAGATTTGGGTGATGTGCGTAGTACATCTTACCGGATTTTCCCTTAACGTATTTCCAGTGTCTTGATGTTACATTTGCCAGTTTCTTTCTAGCTACTGCTTCAAGTGGAATGCTGGATTAAAGAAACCTTTGATATGATCCAGGAAATTAGTTATTGTAATACTTGGAAGACTATGGGTATATTTGGCTTTTCAAAGTCAGCAAGGTAATTCTGGGTTTTCTTCACATGGGACAGTCTTGCTGATGATTATGGGGAAGAATGCATGCCTTCACCCCACAAATGCACACTGGGGCAGAATTTTGCTTCAATTCTGCAGTTTGGTTTCTGGTTAATGACTAGGACTGAACGGTCCTTATTCTGTATAGACCAGTAACAAGGAGCAATGGTGCTTTTCTGCAGGCAGCTTTCCTTTTCACTTCATTAGTGACAATGCACACTAATAACCATGCGAGTTCAAAATGAGCCAAACTCAGTCCCATGGAAGCTCTTTTAGTTCTGTGACCTGGAGGATTGTTGCAAATATGCCATTTCAGGAATATTCCTTCTTTTTCCAGTTCTCTTAAACCTGAAAAAGAAAGGAGACCCTTGAGACCAAGTGCACAGAGGCAGTCCTAAGTCCGCTTTAGCAGTCATGCATGAAGTGGCGTTAAAGTCAATCTTCTGAATTCTTGTCCAGAAGGCAGTACTCGCTCTTCCCCACTCCCTGTCCCTGGGGGGAGTGAAATAGGTTGGAGATCAGATGGAGAGGAAGAGAAATACAGAGAGAGAGAGAGGAGCAAGCAAGAGCCACATTATGTTTCCATTTTCCTTTAATGAAGGCCCTGTGGAGGTGTATTTGAAAACACAGGGTCTCCTATGCCCTCAAGGTGGGTGAGAACACTCTCTTGGCTGGTTCCAGGGCCATATGCAACGTATGGTGGCCAATGAAATGGGGCCTGGCTCATTCTGTTGCTTGTCTTGGCAGCTCATTTCATGGCTTGTATTACCAGCCCTGGAACGCAACCACTGCCAAACTCCGTGTGTGTGTGTGTGTGTGTGTGTGTGTGTTGGGGCTTGGAGAGCTTAGCAGAGACAAATGCTTCACTGAGTCAGGCTAGAAATTTTTCAACTTGTTTCTTGAAGCCTGCATGAAAATTATCTGCAGGCCTCGCCAGAGATCTCCGCTGGGAATCTACAAGCTTGTGGGGGCGTCTGGGATACTAGCTGTTAGGATGTCAAATTCTTTGTGTAGCTCCTGGCGATTTAGAATGCCCATTTGCGTGGGTGGGTTGACAGGACATAAGGCCGTCCGTCCAAATTCGCTCTTCTAATGAGGAGCCACAGATAACTGTCTTGGGATTTTCTGGCTAGTGTCCATGGGTTTAGCAGGTAAACGAGACGCAAATTACTGCTATAATGTGACCTTTATGCTTCTAAAATCCATGGGAATATCCCGTCCTTGTCACAATTGCTAGCAGCATCTGCACTGCTATGGTTTCTGCTCAAGAGTCGTTGGTACTACCTGCTACTTCTGTTTTTGTTGCTGCTGCAGTGGAAAGGACTTCTGAATGGACAACCTTGTGCTTTTTTCAATAAGTTGCCTTCTTCCCTTGCTAGCATTCTAGGCTGGGCTTGTATATATGCTGATAGCAAAATAATACGCACATTTCATCTGTGGCCATGATGGAATGCTTGGCACCAAGATTGTCATCCATTTGGTGCCAAGCTCGGACCTTCGTCTTCTTCCAGGCATTTGTCAGGGTAAAACCTGGGTAAAACCTTATCAGCAAATGATAAGGTTTTACCCAGTCCTGGTGTTTTTAATGTAGTCATATTTTGTTTTATATTGTGTTTTTAAAGTTTGATCCTTTGCAAGCTGTCCAGAGGGCTTCAGCTGAGGGGTGTAGAAATGTAATAAAAAAAACAAATTATCTGTCAAGTAGGGCTAGATATAACTTGTTCCTGCTATTATTTGAATGAGAGGCCTTGAAGGAACATTCAGTCTTCCCCAAAGTGGAGCCCCTAGATGGCTTATAATAATAATAATAATAATGTGATGATGATGATTATGATGGTGATGATGATACACCACTGGAGGGCACCACTTCAGAGAAGGTGGAAATAGGTCTTTGGTAACAAAGTGAGAACTATTCTTAAATGTAGGTGCCTTGAGGTTATATCCAGATAAAAGTGCCATCTTCCTGATCTAAATGCCTTTATTAAAAGCAGAAACTAACTACATAAAATGGCTATTAAAAGAACTATGTTTTTCCCTACATGTCAAGTTATCCTTGGCTTCAGCTTAATTATTACTTTCCTGTCTACATATGATTTTGTTTGTGTGCAGTGCACAATTAAAGAAACCTGTTGCTTTCATATGCAGCTTTTCTAGCTGAGATATGTGGGCTGATTCTCTCTGGAGACCAAAGTCCAAATGAGGGCTGCAGACCCTTGTGTCAGAATTGAGGGTCATGATTTAAAGGCAGGAGAGGGGTGGCACCTTGTGTGCATTTCCATTCAAAATCACTTTTTTTTTTTGGCAAGAGATGGGGAGGCCTAGAGGAAAAACAGAAAAAAAAACCAATGGTTTTTTAAAAATCAAAACCACTTTCCCCCATTAGTTCCCCAGGGAAATTTTTACAGGCTTTCCATCCCAGCCCTTCATATCAGTAGGCATTTTCACAGCACAGATGTTTTCTGGTCATCGTGCCTCACCAAGAGAGAGGTGGCTTTGGGAAGAACATCATGAGTGGTACATAGAAGGCTACACCTCCCCATTTCACTTGCTCCTGTGTTCCATAAATCAGCCCCCAACCTGACAAAGCAGCCGGCTCATCCCATAGATCTGCTACCATCCTGTCTGCCTTTCGTTCTTCCTCTTTGGAAGCTTCCATTAAAAAGAGGAGGCAAATGAACTGTTCTTCTACAAATACAGAAGGTGATCTGGTAGGATGGGCACCAAGTACTGAATGGGGCAGGGGCTGGAGGAAGAGAATGAGAGAGAGCTGAAGAAGCCTAGCTTTAGAAGACAACCTCAGGACTAAATACCTGCATGTGTAATTGCAAGGCTAATGAATGTACTCGGTTTGCTCTAAGCAGAGGGTGCTTAGAACAAAGGCCACTGCTGAGTGGCAGGACACATACTTTGCGCTTAGGAGGCTGTGGGTTCAGTCCCTGGCCTTTGCAGTAGGAAAGGGAAGATTTGCCTAAGACCACAGAACCAGTGCTAAAGTAGACTGCCTTTCCCTAGTGGGACCTGCTCCCAGTTGTTTTAGACTACAGCTTCCATCAGCCGTAGCATGCACATCCATTGGGCATCCAGACTGGAGATGATGGAAATTGCAGTCCAAAATACCCGGTAAGCACCAGACTGGGGAAGGCTGGAGAGGAAAGTACTGGAACAGTTAGAAAAATAGTCTGACTTCATAGAAGGCAGCTTCTTTTGTTCCAGGGAGGCTGTGCAAACTCCTTACCTTGCTGCATAAGCAATGCACTGTGTCTTCTTCATTCTGCAGAGGCTGTGCTTGTGGCCAGATTACCAGGATTTTTCTTCCAGGATGTTACTCATATAGTGCAGTCTCTCTGTCTGTCTGTCTGCCTGTCTGTCTCTCCCCTTTTTTTGGTCATGCTCCTACCATCCTAGTGAAAGTAAACAGACGTCTTGAGGCAAATCCAGACCCTTCCTCTGCAGGAAGCAGGCCCTGCATTTTAGCTAGTAGGGAAGAGTTGTGCACACCTCCCAATTCAATCCCCCCCCCCCTCAATATCTGTACTCTTAACTCATTAAGGACTTGAGATTGCTTAGACATGCAGGGACCAGACAATACTAGGGAGTACAATTTGATTATTCATATCCATCTCCTTTTGTGGGGGTATTTCTATAAGGGAAGTTTCTAGGAAAACCTACACAGCTCCAAGGTTTAATATTTCCCCTTATTTTCTAATGGAAATGTTAGGTTACTGCAAGCTGCTTTTGTGACAGTATGCAGACATCCTCCTGCTTTAAGTGTTCTGGCATCTCTGTAAGAATAACTTACACAGCCTCTCAAACTTCAGTGCAAGCCACATTTCCCAGAATATGTGTAGAATAGCATAGTCACACATTGAAGGCAAGTAAAGTATTACCAGTGGTGTGATGTGAATGCCGAACTGCAGGATTTCATGTGCCTTTGTGCATGTGTCAAAGATGCACACACATACGCACTGTCTCTCTTACACTCAGCATAATGTCCAGCTTATTAGGATGAACACAACTGCAAATGTGTTACCATGTACACTGTAGCATGAAGTAGGAACCCCATCAAAGAAAATGCCTGTGCTTTGTTATTATCCTCATTATTTGACTTACTTTCTGTTAATCTGTCACAAACAAGGTGAAGCTTGAAAGCTTTGCTATCACCTCATCTGTCTGCCAGAGCTTGGAGTGGTTGTAAGCATGTTTGAGTGAATAATGTCATTGTTCCTTCTCTGAGGAAAGTTGGTGAATTGGGCTCCCCCACATTCTACCCCAATCATGTCAAAGTGTCTGCATACAACTGCAATTTATGATTGCAACCTTATATCCAGTAATCTAGGAGTAAATGCTCAGTGGGATTTACTTCTGACTATGCAAGTACGGGATGGTGGCGTCCACTGACTTGCATGTATCGATCTGGAACTGAGACTTCTAATCTTGAATAGCAAACCTGACTTCCATTGAAATAAACCTGTAATTCCATGTTTAGAGCAACTTTTTTTGCAGTGGTAAAAAACAAGTAAAAATGCCCATGCACAGATATTTTTCCAAGTAGTGAATCCAGATGCAACATGTTTCTTAGCTGCAGTAAGAGATCAGTTCCAGAGCACAAAATTGGAGGTCATCTATGTTAAAAGTTTGTCTTGAACCGATCACATAGTGGCTGATCTGGATCAGACTTCAATAGCTCAATGTACATGCATATAGCAATCTCTCGAGTATATACATTCTGTTGAGCCTTAGTTCTTGCAATATGCCAGTCCAGAAATTTCTCTAATGTTACAGTCCTAGTCTTGTCTGCTCAGAAGTAAGGCAACTGAGTTCAGTTGGATATACTACCAGGTAAGTGTGTATAGGACTGTAGCTTAAGGCCATATCCTTTTTCTAGGCTCATGGCTGTTTCTTCCAAACAGTGGTGCGCAGCACTAGGCCTAGTACTGCTGCTATCATAGAGCAGCTGGTCAGACACTGGAGAGGTGTGGAAGAGCCTTGCTGAAGGTGGTGAAGCAGGTGGTTAGTCCCTTGGAGGCCCTCGCCTCCTAAAATGAAGGTGGAGAAAGCAAAGTAGGGGAAAAGTGTACATTTAAAAAGGTTGGGAGAAGAATGAGGATGGAGAACCTCTGACCCACAGGGGTCTCCCCAGCAGCTAATTGGAGATAAGAGCTTTTCCTTGGAATTTGTTCATCAGGTTTTGAAAAAGGTTCTTCCTGAATATATGTGTGTGTGGGAAAGTGGCTGATAGGAGATGGGCCTGGTAGTAACTTGCTGTTTTCTAGATGTTTTATACTAAAATTCCTATCAGCCCCAGCCACATGGTCAGGGATTATGTGAGTTGTAGTCCAAATCATCTGGAAGACTATCAAGTGGAAGCATTGACTAGATGAACAGAAAGCTTAGTATTCATAAGTTTCTAATAAGCCTAAGATTGTGTTGCTGATGAGTTCAATAAAAGTGCAGCCTTCATTGAAAGAATGAGGTTTAAATGCACACAATGTCTTGCGGATCCTGCTCTAGTCTTGAGGCTCTAGAAAATGCTGTTTATACATAAATGCAGTGGCTAATGCAGCCTCCTCAGAGTTTGGTAAGGAGTGCTTTTCTTATAGATAACCCTCATCTTTTGCACTGTATATAGTGTTCTGCACATATTTTCTAATTAAAACAAACAGAAACAGTGGCAAAACAAAACTTTCTAGGAATCAGCAGTCATTTATGTTAATGCTATTTATTTATTTATTTATTTATTTATTTATTTATTTTGAACCTGTTTATCCTGTATTTCACTCATCTGATTCTCATCTGATGCTTCAAAGGGAAGTGATAATAGCAGTAATAGCAACCACCAGCACCAAACCTGCGCCATACCTTTGTCCCACAGGGGCTGGCAGCTGAGTGTTGGTTCTGGCAGAGACGGGGTGCGGGCAGGCCACCTCTCAGCACTACCCTTTCTGGCTGGCAAATGGGGCCAGGCTGGTCTCACTCGTTGCAAGATGTTTTTGCTGGGAGGCAGGGCTTACAGCCTGCCCATGGCCTGGGTGCCCTGGTGGGTGGCAGAGGCCAGGGTGCACTTCCCCTATGCTGTCCAGTCCTTGGGTACCTGTCAGTTGAAGCCCAGTGCTCTTTCTAGCAGGGACCGGGAAACCAAAAGTGCTTGTCATAGTCTGTGGTTCTTGATTTTCCCCACAGTATCTTGCTTCCTAGCTTTTCCCTTTCTGTTGCAGAGATGCCAATTACAATAGTGGAATTACTGTCCTCTGTGCTATTCCTAAATATGAAGTCCATTTTTATTGCTTCAGCTTCCTGTCATCATGGTGACTGAAACTGAATTCTTAAGCTAATGGATCCAAGATGGTGTTTTGTGAGGTTATCTTCTCTGATCTCACTGCAATGAGAACTTAACCAAATAGGATAACTAGGATATGCAATACTCAAATAGGATATTTGTAGTTTTCATTCAGGTTGCCTCATAACTTTCATCTGTGGACACCCTACTTTTAATCTTAAATAATTTGTGCAACTAGCTAAGTTCCTTGTTGCCATTCCACCTTCCTCCTTGAGTTTATAAATAATGCTGACCGGGCTGGCTGCTAGATTAGGTAATCATTGTTTCTTGTTCTTAAAGTGTTGACTTCATGAAGTTGGTTTTTATCACCCTCTGGCAAAGAAATCAATTATTACCTTTTTCTCAGTCCACCAGCCTTCATACTTGATTCAGCAGTAGTGCAGGCTTGTAACCATATACAAAATACACAATGTTCACTCATTGTGGCTTTGAGTGATATTTTATCTCAGACAACCTCCTATCTTTGCGTCCTGTTTACCTAGCAGGGCTGGTCCTGCTGTGAGACAGAGTGGGGGAGCTGCCTCAAGATAAGGGATGGTGAACTGCAGCCAGTTCTTGGAGGACAGACTGGTGGCTGCCCTGCAGCCTGCTCTGGGCCCTCTCAGCTAGCCTGCTGCCTGCAGGTGTAGTGGAGGGCACTGCCCCATCATTAGTGCTGGACTTGGCTTCTGTCTGTGGAGCAGCTACGGGGTGGGCACTCCCTTTCCTACTCGGAAGGGATGGAGCTGGTTTCCTTGTCAAATTGTTTCATAGCACAGTGGTTAACTGTGGGACCTCACAGTGGGACTTCTCGGTAATAGTTCAGCTGCCTCTCCTGGAGAGACTCTGGGGGACAAATATGCCTCCTGGTCCCTTTGCGGGCAGGTCTTCCAGTCTGGTAGGGATCGCTTTTCCTGTGACCAGATGCTTTAGCAGAGAGAGCATGTTCTTGCCTAACCTGTGCCCTTCCCTGAAAGCTTCATGATGAACTGTGATTGCCTTGCCTTTTGCAGTCCCCTTGCTCAGCTTCCTGTACTCAGTGGCTGTTTCTCTTTCTCTTTCCTAGGCTGTGGGTTTGCATATCCTGCTATGATGCCAGGGCAGATTCCAGACCCATCCCTGACAGCCGGGGCACTGCCTGGCCTTGGCCCCTTGACAGGACTGCCTGGTACCACCTTGACGGCAGAGGAGCTGAAGTATGCCGACATCCGCAGCATCGGGGCCATGATCTCGCCCCTGCATTTCCTGGAGGTGAAACTGGGCAAGAGGCCTCAGCCAGTGAAAAGCGAGGTGAGTTCCAGAATGAGTGTGTCCAGTGCCAGCTTTACTTATAGACCAGGTTGGCAAAGTCTGCTAGAAACTAATTCCATATTGTGCATGGGTGGTGATGTTTGTGGGCCTTTTCCCTCCTGGCAGCTTTCTCAGACTAAATTTTACCTCTGCCACCAAAGATGATGATCTGCTTAGTTCGCTTCAGTGAACTGTAACAGTTGCTAAAATAGCCAGCTAAGGCCTTAATGCAAAGCACACCTAGCTTGAAATAAGCTTCATTCAACTCAGCGGACTTAATTAATGAGTAGACAGTCTGAAGTCAACTTTTGTGCAGTCCACTCATGATTGTATAAATGCAGTCATGTATTGGATAGCACTGTAAGCAAACTAGAACATACTGCAGTGTTGTCATCTTTGTGATGCTTGCCTCTAGCTTTGTTTGGCCTGTTCTTGTTTGCTGAGGTGCTATTATCCATTGGCTCTATATTACATGAAGGGAAACTGAGGCACCACTGACTACAGTTTTGGTATCATTTAAAAAAACTTGTTAAATTAATGACTGATTTAAGATGCTTGATATCAATTTCTTGTTATATTATTTTCTGCCATAGGTAGATGTCATGCAATTTTTAAGGGAGGCAGGATAGATATATTGGAAACAAAAGGACAATACCAGACCCCCGGGGTCTTGTAGCTCAACCCACGCACAATTCTGGCTGGGGAAGGCAGCTGGAGAAGCCACCGAGCACCACAAGGATCAATCATATCTTGTTTGTGCCTTTTAAAAGCTTTTTCAAGGGTCGGCAGGGCCCGTGTGTTTCCCACTCCTGCTGTAAACTACCCAGAGAAGCATGGTTGAGATTACTGGCAGGATAATAGCTATGAAGGATGCTGTGTACTGGTTAGACTGGGTTGGACTTGAGTTGTAAGCTCTGGGTCCAAATCCTCAGTTGTTAAGAAGCCAGCTGCATTACCATAGCCATTCACTGACTGGGTTCAGGCAACATCATAACCTATGCTCAAGGACTGAAGATAGCTTATTGCTGAACTATTGGTTGTTAATGATACATGGGTTATTATTTTGTCTGAACTCAGCTTCACTAACAAGCATGGTTTGTTAACTCGTGAAGAAATGTATTCTGTGTTGTTAGACTGTAGGATGCTCTTCCTGGTTGTTATCTCAGCTGGGTTTGGACAACATAATAGCACACTTGTGATAGCAGTTGCCATTGAGAAAGCTAGAACTAGTTTGCCGAAATATTTGCAAATAAAAAAACTTGAAGGCTGCACTCCTGTGCTCACTTACTTTAGAGCAAGCTCAGTGGTACATCCTTCTACATAGACACACAAAGGAAGGGGTTTCAAGGCTGCGAGTTTAGGGAAAGATCCAGGAGTATTAGGAGATGCAACAGGCAGTAAGGAATATTGTCAGCACTGCAGAGGGGAGAGTAGCCCGTAATTAGCATAGTAATAAGCACTGATAGAGTTCTGCCTGTAGGGCCAGACAGCAGTGGAGTTGGTTGGAGTTGGTCTGAAGGAGAGGTATGCACTTCTGGACCTGGTTATGGCACAGAAAAGCCTTGGGCACCCTGTATGATGACCTGTGCCAAGAGAGAGAAAGGAGGAGGGTGACCCCATCGACACTGCTGCACTTCTTGGCAGCTTTCAGTACCTTCAACCATGGTATCCTTCTGGGTAACTGTTGGAGTTGGCGGGGGGACACTGCATTGCAGTGGTTCTGCCCCTTCTTGGAGGGCTGTCTTCAGAAGGTGGTGCTTGGGGAATATTGTTCAGTCCTGTGGATTCTCCAGCATGGAGTTCCTCATGGGTCTTTTCTGACCCCCCTGCTATTTAACATCTGCATGAAACCACTAAGTGGGATCATGCAGAGTTTGGGTGCTTTGCCATCAATACACATCTCTGTATGTTCTTTTCAACATCAGCAGATGAGGCTGTGGATGGGCTAAACTGGTGCCTCACTGCAACAATAGACTGGATAAGGGCTAACAGACTGAAACTCATTCCAGGCAGGACTGAGATGCTGTTGGTGGGAGGTTCCTTTGACCAGATGGAGGATGTTCAACCTGTTCTGGATGGGGTTGCCCTTCCCCTGAAGGAGCAGGATCATAGCTTGGGTGTGCTCCTTGATCCATCTCTGTCACTTGAAGCTCAGATGACCTCAGTGCTTGGAGTGCCTTCTACCAGCTTTGGCTGGTGGCCCAACTATGCCCCTACCTGGGCAGGGATTCCTGGCTCTAGTAATCTATGCTCTAGTAATCTCTAAATTGGATTATTGCAATGCCCTCTGTGTGGGGCTGCCCTTGAAGATGGTTCAATGAGTGCAGGTTAATAATCGGGACCTGCAGGGCAAAACACATAAGACCAGTTCTGGCCTGCTTCCACTGGCTTCCTGTATGCTTCTGGCCCCAATTCGAGGAGCTGGTTTTAATCTATAAAGCCTTACACACTTTAGGACCAGAATACCTGTTGGAGAGCTCCTCCCAACCGCAATCTACTCAGATCCCACACTCCACCTCTGGGGCCTTCTTCTGAGTGCTGACCCCAAGGGAAGTACAGAGGGTAGCAGCAAGGGGGAGGGATTTCTCTGTGGTGCCCCCCCGTCTATGCAACAACCTCCCTGCTGCAGTCCAGCTGGCATTGAATTTGTCATCTTTTCTGGACCAGGTTAAGGCCCAGTGCTCTTAAACATCTTTATTAATTATTTAGATGAGGAAGTACAAGGAAAGATAATCAAATTTGCAGATGATACAAAACTGGGTAGAATAGCAAATGCCCTAGAAGACAGAATGATGAAGGTCCAGGGTGAACTGGATAAACTTGAATACTGGGCTCAAAGCAACAGAATGAGATTCAATAAGGACAAGTGCCAAGTCTTCCACCTAGGAAAAAGAAACCAAATGCATCGATACAAGATGGGGAATATGTGGCTCAACAGAACTGAAAAGAAAAAGACGTTGGAGTAATTGTGGACAATAGGCTAACCATGAGACAACAATGTGATGCAGCTGCCAAAATGGCAAACACTATTTTGGGATGCATTAAAAGAAGCATTACTTCCAAATCACAAGAAGTAGTAGTTCCTTTATACTCCTTACTAGTCAGACCTCACCTGAAATACTGTGTCCAGTTCCAGGCACCAAGATTTAAGTAAGATGCAGAAAAATTAGAAAGGATCCAGTGGAGGGCAACAAAAATGATCCAGGGTTTGGAAACACTGTCCTATGAGGAGGGACTGAGAGAACTGGGCATGTTCAGCCTTGAGAAGAGAAGACTGAGGGAGGACATGATATCCCCCTATAAGCACCTCAAAGGCTGTCATAAAGAAGAAAGTCAAGATCTCTTCTTGCTGATGCCAGAGTGTAGGACACAGAATAATCAATTCAAGTTGTGACAACCCAGATTCAGGCTAGATATCAGGAAAAGCTTCCTCCTTGTCAGAGCAATACGAAAGTGGAACCAGCTGCCTAGAGAGGTGGTGGGCTTTTCCACACTAGAGACATTCAAGGTGAAACTGGACAGCCGTCTGAGTGGGATGGTGCAACGTGGTGTCCTGCAACAACAGGGAGTTGGACTGGATGGCCTTCATGGCCCCTTCCAACTCTACTATTCTATGAAGATGACCCTCTTCTCAGGCCCTTATTTGCCCACCCAGGGGCATGAAGAAGTCTTCTGCAGAGTCCTTAAATTTCTGAATTTTTAATTTCTATTGGCTATTTTTTGTGTTTTATTAAATGTTTTACTGGTTTTATGAGAATTTTATTGTATTTTTATTGACTGTTTTTTAACTGCCCAGAGAGCTTTGGGTGTGGGTGATACAAGAATGAATGAAAGATGAAAATTTCCCTCAGCCCTAGCCAGCGTAGCTGGTGATGCAGTCCATGGGGGCTGTATGACATGACATCTTAGGGGCTGTGAGGGTTAGGGTTGGAGACAGTTGTAAGGCCACAGCTTGCTCAGCCCTGGTCTCAAGGGTGCTACTTGAGATAATATTCCTTGGATGTGATATTTAGGATGCCGCAGGGTTCAGATGGTCTTTAAGAACTTTATACAAGAAGAGTGGAAATGGGTTGTTGGAGGGGCTTGCCCTGAGCATCCAACAAGGAGACTGTTAGGTTGATTCCCTTTTATTTTGGTCCGTTCATTGCGCTGTGCTTGTGTCTTTCTGTCCAGCTAGATGAAGAAGAGGAAAGGCGGAAAAGGCGCCGAGAGAAGAACAAAGTAGCAGCAGCTCGATGTCGGAACAAGAAGAAGGAGAGGACAGAGTTCCTGCAGAGGGTGAGTGATTCACTGTCAGCTCAGGAGCTTTCTTTGCCATAACTTTGTTCTCTTCTTTCCCGGTGCATGCATACTCTTGCAACAGATAGAAAGGCCTGAAAAAATCCTACAAAAAAGCAAAGACTGGGCATAAGCAAAATTCCAAAATTCATGTTAGTGAAATATCATTATTAGGCCAGTCAAAATGCCATTCAGATTTTTGTTATTTTGGATCACCAGATCTCTTCATCGGGCAAGATGTTTCAGGAGGCAGGGGACAGGGAGAGAAAGGGAGAGCAAAACTTTTGATGGAGTAAAAAGCATGGCAGCTGCATGAGCACAGTCTTGAGATGGCATAAAGGAGGGTGTGATCAAGGGTGTGCTCATGGAGACCCCATGACTTGTCAGATTTCCCACCTGCACCCCCACATTTGCCACATCTTGGATGATGAAGAAAGTTGCAAATCTTGAAAGCTTGCCATGTTTGTGGCCTTTTGGTATAGCAAAGACAGTAGGTCAGGTGTGTCAGTGTGGTGTGATTAGAATGCTAGACTGGGGACCTGGGAGATCCAAGTGCCAGTCTATTTGACCTCGAAGATCTCTGGGCGACTTTGGGCCACTCACAGACTCTCAGCATCACCCACCTCACAAGGCTGTTGTTGTTGTGAGGATGAAATGAAGTGGAGGGGGATTATGAAAGCACCTTGGGTCCCTTGCAAGAAGAACAAAACAAGATACTGATGTAATTTTAGTATTATTATTAAACAAATATGGAGGAAGAAAGCTTGTTTTCAACCTCTACATGAAGGCTGAATATTTAACAACTTGGGTATGAGTCCTATAAGGCGCAGCCACTCTCTTCCACCTGCCACCCTCCAGATGTGTGGACTGGGAGTGATGGTAGTGCAGAAGATCTGGAGGGCACTGGGCAGGGTAAGGGAGCAATACGGGAACTTGAATATTAAATGGCGGGCACTTGGCTCTTTGATTTGTCCGTTGGACAGTGCTGTCACTTCTTCTCATGCTTCAGTCTAGCTCCTTACAAATGCTTGCCGCTGGTTTCCCTGGTCCCACTTAGGAGTCTGAACGCCTGGAGCTCATGAATGCTGAGCTGAAGGCCCAGATCGAGGAGCTGAAGCAGGAGAGGCAGCAGCTGATCTTGATGCTGAACCGCCATCGCCCCACCTGCATTGTGCGGACAGATAGCGTCAAAACGCCGGAGAATGAGGCCAACCCACTCCTCGAACAGTTGGAGAAGAAGTGAAAGGTCACAGGTGGGCAAAGAGAAGCAGGCGGCAAAAGACAAATGCAGGGTCTCTCTCATCTATGTACTGTATGAAGAACTGTGCACAAAAGACTTGTGCAGCCAGAACATGGCAAGCTTCCTTGGGGATTGCACATTCCAGCCAAACAGAGGGAGTGGAGGAGATGACCACAGATACCCCAGGAGGGGAAGCTCTCGCTGCTGTGCTCAGGCTCCACCCGAGTGAGTGCGGCCGGTGTTGCGCAGGGGGCCCTGCAGGTGCCTCGTCCTGGCTCCTCCGACTCTTGGAGAACCCTCCAGCACCCCTTTGCTGTGCATGCCGCGTCTGGAACATGTTGGGAGGCTGAGAAGCTGGTGCCGGGCTCCCTCCCACCCCTCTTCCCACAGGCAGCGGCTGGCGGTCAGCAGAGAAACCAGGGTAGGAAGCAGCGCGGACAACGGTCCGCTAGCGTTCGTTCCAGCACACTCCCAGCCTGGCAGCGTGCCCGTCTCCCAAACTGAACACTTGACACCAGCCCTGCCGCACGGCTGGGCCTGCCTGTGGCGCTGGGGCGCAGGCGCCCGCCCACAAGCACCCCCTCCATGCAATGTTTACAGCCCAGCTGTCCAGGCCATGCTTTTACAATGCACATTTTTACACTTTTTTATATTTTTTATAAAGGTTTTGTTTTTATACAGCAGTCTCTATATGGAATTATATAATCACTAGATGTGATCTCATAGATATGTATGTTATTATGGTCTCTCTGTTACAACCGCATATGCCACAGTTATCTCTTTTGTGTTACTTGTTTGGTGGCATCTGGCTCCTTTCCCTCGGCATGCTGGGAAAAGGTCCTGGGCCTTTGCACTGGCTCCACTGCCATGTCCATCCATGTATGTCCTTCATAATATTCAGTCCTGTATCTCTCAGTAAATGTTAACTTTTACTTATCCTGTGCCTTGTGCTTTGTTACCCGTCTTGCCTCATCACCTTTATTGTAACGTGCGCTGCAAATGCTTTGTGCAGTTGCTGGCTACTGCTAGAGTGGCCTGATTTGAAACTAATCAGATACTGTTACACATAGCAGGGAGTGTGCTAAAGACTGGGGCCTGCAGCCAAAGCTGAATCGATTTGCCCAGGTAAGGACTGCAGAGTTGCAAAGTGACACAGAAGAACCATGCTTTTACCTCCCACTTATGAATCAGTTTATTATATGGCAGCTTACATGCAATCAATAAACTAACAAGACAGTTCCTGTGCTCAGGCTTACCATCTAAAAGGGACAACTCTAAAAGAAAATAGTGTGGGAGGGAAGAGGAAAAATGAAGAGTCGGGCACCAATTCTTAAAGGTAAATACTGGCTCTTATAATAACCAGCTGGAATGGAAGATAATATAACTTGCATATGCGAGAGCTTGGAAGGCTCTGTTTTCTGCTCTTCAACACTGTAAGGCTTCTGTTTTTGCTTCTTTTTCTGTTGATGCTGTGTCTCAAACAGCCACACCCTCAAAGGAGCAAGGAATGCTGGACCCACTCCTTCCCATTCTGGAAATGAGTGTCAATTTGTGAAGCTAACGTAGCTCAGAGGTGTTGTCCTTGTCGTGCCTTTGAGCACCTGTAATAAAGAAGGGAAATACGTACATTTAATATCAGCATATTTGTATTCAATTGCCTGGTATATCATTGAGGCTGAACTGAAGAAAAGAGCTGTCTCCGGGGTGGGGTGGGGGGCACACTGACCTGAACATGAGGCAGAGGTTAACCAAGGTTAACATCACTTTTGAAGGTAACTTGCATGCAATATTTTCTTCCTAGACTAATTCCCATATAGGAAAATTATGTAGGAAAGGCCACAGTCAGGCATCTCTGGAAAGGGCAGTGCAAAGTAGCTTCTGCAAGATCAATCGTGGATAGAGCACCCCCTGCATAAGGGTTACCTACAGTAGCTCATGGGAGTCTTTCTTTCATGGATATTAATGTTAATGTGTGTGAAACAGCCTTGGGGTTTATTTATTTAATATGTCTAGCATGGCTAGAAATACTTCCCAGTGCTCATGGGAGCTTGCCAAAGAACAGTAACAATCTAAAAAAGCCTGTATAAAATACAACTCTTAAAATCCACAATTACAGCAGCACAGGCTTAAAAATGTAGCAATATGATACACTGCACATGATTTCATTACTCACAATGATCCAGCCAAAAGTATTATGGCATCTTAAAGCAGCCTATTCAAATTGGGTACTCCAAACTCCTAGCATCTCCTCTCCTAACTCTCTTGCACCCACAAGTCTGTTCTGGAGGGTTCCCTAATCCTGAACAGATTGTGGAAGGGGGCTCACAAAGGCAAGGGGAATCTATTCTGGGGTTGAATGGACACCATTGGCTACAACTGGCACAACGTTATAATGGCATATAATTCTAAATAAAACTTGCAGCTCAAAAATTTATATAAGTGTGCATGTGTGTATGTTTTAGATCAGTGGTTTTCAACTGTTTCAAAGCAGGGGACCGGCAAAAACAAGAAAACCACCTCAGGGATTGCTGAGGCAAAAGCAAAAGGCAGCATACACATAATACAGTATTCTGTGTGTTAGTTTCCAAACACAATACCAGGAAGGAAGGAAGGAAGGAAGGTCTCCAAAACAACCAGAAACCAATCAACAAAAATGCCAACAAAAGAACAAAATACTGAAATTGGTGCAGCGTGGCTCCCACTGAGCTGTCTCTCCCCTTCCTGGCCCCCTTGGCACCAGTGCACCCCCGCAAATACAAAGCCAACCAAGAAAGAGGTGGTGGAGAACAATTGGTCCCTGTGCCAGTCTGCGGCAAGTGGGATGCAGTGCCCCCCACCCCCACCACAAGAACCAGCAGGAAATCTCCCACACACTGGTGGTTGAAAACCACCGTTTTAGACTAGAGGGCACTACTGGATGCAAGAACTATTGTCTTCAACTGGTGGGAATATTTGCATACAGATATGGCATAGGGGCCATAGGTTCACTCCCCCCTTGCGGCAAAAACTTCAAACAAGGCTATTTGTTGCTCTGAAAGTAATAATCCTGCCATTAAACTAACCCTCAGTTTCCCCCAGATCCTTTGCAAAAGGTGTGCCCTGTATAAATGCTTAACGCTCAGGAGGTTTTTCTGAATTAGTGGGGCAACTGTACCAAGGGCCCAACTCTTTGTAGCTCCTGCTTAAACCTCCTTGAAGGGGAAAACTCAGAGCAGCTTCACCCAAACTGGTGCTCTCCAGACATTTTGGACTTCAGACACACCCAGCATGGCCAATGGACATGAAAGTTAGTGTTCCAGATATCCAGAGGGAATCCGATTGGGGGAGGTGAGGAGCTAATTCTTGGAAATAAACAAGAATCCTAAGTGCAATGAAGACTCTAATCCAGAACGATTATATTGCCTGCAGATACAAGTCCTTCAAGCTATTCCACTGTTACAGAAATACAGACAAACCCTAAGCCACTTGTGCCCGCCTGTGCTTCAAAAACACATTGCACAATCAACGTCATTGCAATAAGAAGCACCTCTTAATCCCACTGAAGCACCATGTGGGCAAGTCAGGAACGTGTCCTTCCCCATTAGCAGACCCCTCTGAAAGGGCAGGTCCCGGCATGTTCCTGGACATAGCAAGGAACCACACTGCTAAGAGCAGCTGTGCTGGGCCAATGCCAGGGCTCCCGTTGCTGCTCTCCTACCTGGACCAGTCGCAGTGCCAGAGACTATTAGAGGGCAAACCACTAAATAGGGTGTTTCATGCTGCCATTAGCACTCACTCTGCTCTTGTGACTCCTCTTGGCAGGGCTGGGATGTGTTCTTGGGAACACTCTTTTAAAACTGGAATTAATCACAAGTGAATGCTTGTGCAGCTCCTCTCTCCATGAATAGCATAGGTTAGAACAGTGCAATGATTAGGATGTACTTGGGATGTTGCATTATACTTGGCCAGATTTTACCTTCAGCTGCATCAGGGAACCTCTTAGAGGGGCAAAGTGGTGGTGGCAAAATACCAAAAATGTCACTATATTATCACTTAATACTCTTACTGACTATGATTAAGCCGTGGGAGAAGTATTTCAATCTTGCTGAATGGAGAAGAATGTGGAAAAGCTGGGAAGACCAAGCCACCTTTTCCTGGGTGGCCAAAGGAAAGGAAAAGGGGCATGGCCATCTGAGAATCCCGGGGGACTAGATTGGGACCACCAGGTTTGGTCCACTTGCAGTGTTCTAGCCATCTCTGATCTATTCTAAGTATGGCTACATCTGCACCAACTCACTAGCAAGGTGCCTACAAGTTCACCATTTTGCAAGAGTCATCATAACTTCACTATCAACCGTGCAATGTACCTGCAGATCATGTAGCACCTGCTTGGTATGCAAAGCTCTGGGCAGAGGTTGGGCAGCTCTGAAAAAGCTTGCGACCCTGAACAGTTACTGCTAGTCAGGTGATACAAGGCAGAGGCCAGGTTATTGTTCAGTGGCTATTAAGCTATTTAGTTTTGAGCCCATACAGTGGGGTGTTGGACCTCTTTTGGCCTGTATGCGAATTTTGGAGAAGCTCTCAGAGGTTCAGTGGTGGCTCAGGCCATAACAACAGGACAGGGCAAAATAACAAAAAGTCCACCATACATTTCAGTGCTAAATGTCTTATTCCCTAAGCCTTATGAGAGCAATTTCAATCTTCTAGAATGTGAAAACCTTGCACAAAAGCTAGGAACACAGCAAATAAATGGTGGCTGGAGAATGGGTGGGTCCAGAAAAATGGGGGGATAGACCCAGAGGGAGAGACCAGAATTCCAGGCTCACAGGCCTGGATTCACTACCCTTGCCCATTGTTGCTGGTGTCAAAGGGCTGTTCAAAATTGAAGACCCTTTGGTGAGATGTCAATTGTTTTGCTCACCATTTTGGCCTGCAGGCATTTGCACATGGTAAAACTGCCCCTCTTTCCTTCTGTGTAAAGCTTCACCTGCTCCCAGTTGATTTCTGCAGCTTAAGCTGCTGTTCAAGGCATAAGAAACACCGACATTTTTTTCTAGGTCATCCGACATCCTGTCTGACCTACACATTGGAATCCATGCACCTTTCAGTTGGGAGGGTTAGTGCCTCCCCTCCCCTCCCTGTCACACTCCCCATATGACTGCATCACTGGCATACATTCAGTTGCTTAAACTTTTCCAATCACTGCATCTCCAGCCCAAGAAAAATACAAAGCTGTTGCATTTCTGCCCATCATGAAAGAGCCTTGGCCGGGGAAAAATATGGCTATCCTAATTTCTGTGCACATGAAAATAGCTGGGATTCCAAGCACTAGTAGTGAACCACTGCCAGATGGTACAGAGTGCTCAGCCAGCAAGGGTGGTCAGCAGCGTTTTGCCCAAAGCGTGGCTGGCCAAAGAGGATCAGAGTTCGGAATGTGAATCTACTTTCAACTGCAAGTCTTGGGTAAACATCAAGGTCCTTCCCATACTGGAGCCATGAGCGCTGGCCAAGAGGAGCTTTTGCTTTGCAACAGAAGGTCACTGACTGCCACATCTGTGGAGCAGGCAGAAATTCAGCAGGTGCAGTGCCTCCTGTAACTGGATCTCCCTGCAGTAAAGACTGAACATGTGGCATTTTTGTCTGCAGTGTAGCTTTGCAAGGCACAATGGTCTACCAAATGAATCATGCTATACTTCTCAATTTACATATTATCCCAGGAATGATAACAAAGAGGGTCAAAAGCCATTTCAGTGTCACACCTTAAAAGTTCTTGGCATCCTCTGCATCTGCTTTGTCCATGCTGATTTCTTATTTTGAAGCTAAAGAACTCAAATCTCTAGAATAACAATGTGTTGTGTGAAGAAGCATTTTCTTTTGGCTATTCTGAATCTCCCATCATTCAATATTCCAAGTGCAGAATTACTATAGGTGCCCTTAAAAAATAAAAGAAAGGCAGATTTTTTTTCCATCTCTTTCAGAGTGTCCATTTTAGAGGTGGACAAATTGTATCACTTTCCAAGGCCTAGCCTTAGATTCCAGTTTTGGTTTCTTTGTGAGTTTAACCTGCTCAGTCTTGCTCTGCTGCTTGAGGAATTATGGGTAAATACGTTCCGTGAGGCTGCCTCCAGTTACAGTCCCATTGCCTCACCTCAGTCAATGCCCAGTTGGCTCCTGCTTCATTTAGGTCATTTTTTTTTCAGTCATACTTGGCTGGTTCTCCACTATGAGCAAATTAATCTAATTAATAGCATTTCAGCTGCATATGAGGGGTGATGGTGGTAAAAGAACAGACTGCTCCACTCTGAGGAAAAGTTAAAAATGAATAGTGACAGAGGGCTTCCTAAGGAGACCCGAGCAGTCTCAGATTTCGATGTCTCTCTCTTTGTTTGATAACTGTTGCATATTAGTACTCGGCCTTCTCCAACTTTGTGCCTTCCAGTTATGTGAGACCTTAATTCCAGTATCGTTCAACTTATTTGGAGGGCACCAGGCTGGGATAGGTTGCTTTTAATTAAGTGCAACTGATTATGTAACACAGCTTCCCCAACACTGAAGACTAAAGAATGTGGACCCATGGCTGGCATTGTCCCAATCTTTCCCTCCCCACCCCCCTTTTGTTACTTGATGTTTAGTCTGAAGAGTTAAATCCATTTAACCATTGTTCAGAAACTTATTGACTAACTATAACAGA